TACACTCCATGACAGATGTTATGGAGGAGCACATGGTCTCATGCTGGCGCTACAGCTGCTCTCACATGGTCTTCCACTGCTCCCAGTCAGCCCGAAGCTCCACAGGGTTGGTGGCCCACTGCCAGCACTCGTCACTGAACCTCCAGATGAGAGACTAGAGGCAGGCCATCTGATCCCACAGCAGGTCTTCCCTGGTGCGCTTTTATCAGAGGTGATGCAGGCACCACACTTGCAGCAGGCCCAGCTGTGAAGAACAGTGATAAGGGCAGTCATCCCTGGAAATACTGTACATGAAGACTAGCCCTAATCTCTGAGCTGATACTGAAGGTCTTGGTTCAGATGATGACAATGTGCTTCGAGCAAAGCCATCTGTTGCCTAGACAGTGGGCACTTTCCTGCAGGGGCATGGATGTCCCAAAGGAACCTTGCTACCCTCATGTCCTGAATACAAGCAGGCATGAGAAGGTGCCATCCAGGCCAGGATCCTGCTGTGGTGGGAGGGTAACAAGACAGCTCACCTTCCTTCTGCATCCCACACTTGCTGGGTCCAGCACTGGCTGTGTCCCACAGAGAGAGAACTTCAGTCCCTGCCCGCTAGAGGGTGTGTGTGTGAGCGGCAGAGGTCACTTGCCAGAGAGAGTGGTACTGGGGTTAGGGTTGCCAGATGGTTTCAACAAAAATACTGGACACACTTGACATTACATCACAATCTATATTACATCTTATTTAGAAAATACCGGACATTTATATTTTCTCATTTATATTTTTTCAACTTGTTTCCCGAACAGAAAGCTCAAATACTGGACTGTCTGGTTCAAAACCGGACACCCTACCTGGGGTCCTCTTCTCTTCCTCTCTCCCCCAGCAGGTTCCTATGCAGGGGATAGGTCTCCTCTGAATTGCCACGCTTCACTGAGAGCAGATGCTGCCCAAGTCTGGGAATGACCCTATGTCATGTGTGGCACTAGTGTGTGTTTCCATGACTTCTGAAGGATGGCTTGTTGTTGGAAGGTGTCCCGCCATGGAGTCTGGAGTGAGGCATAAGCATTATACCTCATGAGAAGCAGGAGTTATTTTGAAATGTCAGGCTCGGTAGTGTGGATGCTCCGCTTGTTATTTCAAAATAAGGGGAGATATTTTGAAATAACTCTCTAGTATAGACCAGGGCCTAGACTTCTGTTTATGATGAATACAGCAGTGGGGGAGGAGAAATACAAAATTTTAATAATTTCACACAACAAATAAAATCAAGGAGATCGGAGTCTGATCTCAGATATTCTAGGAGCAAAGAAAGCAGCACAGTTTATTAGATAAACTATTTATTGTAAATGATTAATTTTACTTGATTTTCAAGATGAAGTTCTATTTTTGTTGACATGTCATTTTACTTTGTACATTTTAAAGATGAGTCATGTCAGGTAATATCTGACATTGTAGATTGTTTGCACTCAGTACTGGATTGAAAATGTAGTTAGGCCATTTGCCTCTCTTTTTCAAATTTGTTTTATTTTAAAGTTGTAGTAGGGGGGCTATGAAATTTTAAGGCTCCATATAATTCAGTCTTATAACTCTAATTATGCACATGCAGGCATACACACAAAACTACATTAAGAGCACATTATTAAGATTGCAAAGTCAAGTACTCAAAAGTTAGGATATGCCAGAATTAAGTAGCTGGAACAACTTTAATTTGATCCCTTGTGCATATGCATTATTATAGTCTTTAATTATATGATTTCATATAGTTTTTCCCACGCATGCCTTAGTCAGCATACAGAGTGGATATGCTCTGGTGGTGCAGCAGCATTGTGCAGTATAGCAGACTCTTGCATGAAGGACCCCTGCTTCCTTTGTTGCAGATAGTGGAAGTCAGTAAAGTTGGAGATGGCAGGAATGGAAAGGATGGTTAATGGTTATGTGAGTTGAATGTAGCCCTGTAGAACTGGAGTCTATTCCTGTCTCTGCTACAGAGTTCCTCCGTGATATTAGGCAAGTCACTTAAACTGTGGACAACTACTAATTTTATGTTCATTATGTTCTGAGTTCTCAACTGGTATGATTAGAATAAATGTTGAACCTTCACATCTGAAAACTGAAGATAAACTTGTCTATGTTCAAAGAGGTACAAAATGTGAAGTATTTCAAAACATTAGGTCTAGGAACCTCAGGTTTACCACCCTAGATTAGTGGATATTTTTTACTTTAAACTTTCTGAGCTTCAGTTCCCTATAAGCCAAATGGAGATAATACCACCCCTTATTTTACACAAGTTGGCAGTGTCTAGACTGGCAAGTTTTTCCGCAAAATCATCTGCTTTTGTGGAAAAACTTGCCAGCTGTCTACACTGGCCGCTTGAATTTCCGCAAGAATACTGACGATCTCATGTAAGATTGTCAGTGTTCTTGCGGAAATACTGTGCTGCTTCCATTCGGGCAAAAGCCCTCTTGCGCAAATCATTTGCGCAAGAGGGCTAGTGTAGACAGCACAGTACTGTTATGCGCAAAAAAGCCCCGATGGTTAAAATGGTGATCAGGGCTTTTTTGTGCAAAAGCACGTCTAGATTGTCAAGCACTTTTTGTGGAAAAGCATCCGTGCCAATCTAGATGCTCTTTTCCGAAAATGCTTTTAACAGAAAACTTTTCTGTTAAAAGCATTTCCAGAAAATCATACCAGTGTAGACGTAGCCGTACTGTGGAAAAAAACTTGATTAATATTGGGAAAGAACTCAGATACTATATAGTTATTAGCACCATAGAAATGCTCATGAGGAAAGTACAAATTCTGTCTTCAAGCAGGGTTTGAATAGTATATGGTAAATATGGCCTGGAACCACACACTGAACAATGAGACACAAACAAAATAGAGAAAAGCTTTTCAGCAAGTGAGCACTATCCATCCTGTCCTTGAATGAAGCAGGAGTCCTATGGAGGTTGGGGTGGGGAAGCAAATAATAAATGATTATGTAATGGAAGATTGTAGCATAATACATAAGCAGCATGGTGTTGAATTAAGATTACACAGGCAACTTGAATTGGCATATTGTAACTTTTGAGTGCCAAACTGGGGCAAATTTTCACAGGGGATGACAAAAGGAATATTTCTGATACCTGGACATGGTACTATAAAGAGTCACCAGGATTTTAGACGGAGGCAAGACGATATTTTTCACTAGCCTCTGTCTTGAAAATGGCTGAACCAATTAGCTAAAATGTAATAGAAAAAAATATCCTGAAGATGGAAATGAAATGGAAAATTTCATTCCAAATAGTTAAGGCTTGGTAAAGTTATAACCAACTGAAAACAGTTTCTTACATTGTGAAGTATTGGGCACTTTTAATCAGTGCTACGAGCTCCTCCTATAAGACTGTGGTGAACATGATAAATGCCTTTCTATACCCTTGACCCAGTTACCATAGAGTTATCAAAAGACTTTAATGGCACAATGGTAAATAAGTGTAAACAGTAGTATCTAATGTCTGCCAATGCAAAAGCACCAAGAGGAAAAACATCTCCATTGAGTAAATATCTAGTAGAAATGCAGATAAATCAGTTTAGAGTTCTAAATACAAAGTTCTGCAAACATCACTGGAACACAACATTTTGTGTTTTGAAGGTATATTATTAATCTTTCAAAACTACTGTAACGAATTACTACTCTGCAGCTCTATTTACTAACATTACATCTAAATGATCTAAGTACAATCAGTATCAAGCACAACAATTGCCAGTTACTTATCCTAGCCAGCCGTATTACTTCTGGAATAACTTTTTCTGAAATAAGCTTGCAGTGTGGACATCCCCTATGAAACAAAATGACATGACTTTTTCAGCCTTGAAATTTTAATATAACAAATTTTGAAATGGAAAGTATTTTAGAAAAACACTGACATTTGTTGAAATTGATACAGTATTACAAAAAACCCTCAACTTATGAAAACCATTTTTATTAAAACTTTGATTGGCTCCCTGGCTGGTGGCAATTCTAAAAAGTGACATGGCATATTTTGTTCTCAGATACACTTTAAAATTTGAACAGAGTACTGTCTACATATCTCAGGGAAAAAATGGGCCAAAAAGCTTTTTATCTTTTGTAAATCTGCATAGCTGTGAAGACAAACATCAAACCCCTCTAGATGATGGTTCTGATTTAAAGTGTTCAGATGCCAAGGTGATGATTGAGCATAGTATAAATACACAGAAAGACATGTACTATTGCAAACTGTAATGTTTAAAAGAAAAAAAGAAACCAAAACATCAGGAGTCACAGCCTCAAAATAAATGGCTTGATAAAAACAATGTTTTTTTTTTAATTTCCTGTGCTTCTGAATATTTAGGGTACACTCAGGGCATGTTTTCAAGCTTTTCTGTGCAGCAAGGAAGGTTGAAAACTAACTCCTTCAATGAAAGCTATGTCTTATCTAATCACAGGATTTCAGAAGTGGGGGTTTTCAGAAAGGCATCAAGTATCACAAAACCTCAAATTGTGCCCGTCACTGGCAACTCCCTTCTGCAAATTCTCTTCCCCTTGCCTGCTTAAACGAAGGTCTTTGAATAGAACCCTTGGGCTATTCATCTTCTCCAAATAGAGTGACTATTAGGGGGAAAGAAGGGCGGGAGTGACCTGGCAGCCCCTCTATAGGGCCTGAGACCATCAACCATGGAAAGATTGTCCAACACTCTCTTCTTCCAGATAGGGAGAGGGGATAGGCAGGAATGAAGGGGTGGCTCCTCTGCCTCCACCATCACATGTACACTGGTGCTCTGTAAATGGTGGGCTCCCCCCAACCCTCCTGCTCAAAGCCTACTCCTTCGAGCACTTCCCCAGCCGCAAGGGGCTGAGGAGGGGGGCAGGAGGGAGACGTGTTGCGGCTCAGCATCTCCCTGCCCGGCTTTGGAATGTGAGCTGCGATCACAAAGGCGGGGCCAGTGCAGGTGCTAGGACCGTGAGCGGGGCGGTCCCAGCCAGGGCAGCACGCGCCCCGCCCCCGCCCGACAGCAGGACCGCACGCGCGCACGCCCCGCTCCTGCTGTGCCCACCGCCGCGTTCCACTCCGCCCGCCCGCCTGGCGCTTGGCCCGACCGGGGTTGAGTGAGGCCACCAGGCCAGGGGGAGGCGCCCCGCGGCTAAGGTGTCAGGCGCGCGCCGGGACTGCGCTATAAACAGCCGCCCCCGCCTAGCGCTGCCCAGCACTCAGCGCGCGCAGCCGGCGGGGCACCTGCAGCTGGTGCGGGCTCGTGGGCGGTTTGCTGGGGGCGCTGCAGAGGAGAGGCGACCCAGGTAAGGGGCGCGAGCAGCCACATTCCTTCGGCAAAGGCGGCTGGGGGCTTAAGGTAGCCGCAGGCCTCCAGGGTAGAGCTAAGGGGCGGTTGCCGAGTGCAGGGTGTTGGTGCTTATTAGGAGTATTGCAAATTTGGGAAGAGGTGCAAGTGCTTTGCGATCTCCGCGGCGAAAGGGTCCTTTGGGCCATGGCCCTTACAGCGGTGTTCACCCAAAGTCACTGAATTAAAGTCAGCGACATTCCATCACGGTCAGAACTTATCCCAACCATCAGAAGGGCCTCCACAAAGAGGTTGTGCAAGATGTTGCTGCCGGTTGGTGTGACCCTCACTTTGCACCGTAGGGTTGCTTGGTGTCTGCTTTTGAACCTGGCAGTCCAGTATTTGAGCTTTCAGTTCAGGAAACAAATGGAGAAAATATAAATGTCCAGTATTTTCTAAATAAGATCAGGACCGGATTAAGGCATGGGCTAGCCACGCAGCTGCCCGGGGCGCCAACCTATGGGGGGTGCCCGGCTCCCGGACTGCAGCAGCTCCCACACTGCAGGGCTTAACTCGAAATAAGCTATGCAAACTGAGCTACATTAATTGCATATCTTATTTTGAAATAGCTTATTTCAAAATTGGGCCCTGGGCTGTGCGCCAGCAGCGGTAGCCGGGCTGGGCCAGGCCGGGCATATGCGTCCTGCAGCCACCAGCTCTGGGTGGGGCAGCGTATGCGCCCTCTCCCATGCACCAGTGGGGCCACGCAGGCACCCTCCCCCAACCTGGGGCGCAATTAAACTGTCTGCCTGGGGCGCCGGAATGGTTCGGTCAGGCCTTGAATAAGTTGTAATGTAGATTATAATGTCATGTCAAGTGCATCTGGTATTTTTGTTGAAACCATCTGGAAACTCTAAAGAGTTCATTATTGTCAACTTTTTTCCTTTTTTCTGTTGCTCTCCTGCAGATTGTTCTCTGCCTGTTTGCTTAACTTTTGGCCCTGTCTCGGTGCCTTTTGCTATGGCATCTGTGCCTTCAGCTGGCTGCCTCCTGGCCAAGAATCAGTACTACAGAAGTAAGGGTTGCTTTAAAAAATAAATAAATATGTATTTATTTATTTATTTTAAACCTGGTGTGTGTGTCCTCATCTGACAATTTCTACTTGTTTATGAAGGAGAGAGTTACATGGCTGGAAATTCTCTGACCCTTTGGATAGGAAACATCTTCTATCATCCTTGGATAGGAGTTTATGAAGGAGAGAGTTACATGGCTGGAAATTCTCTGACCCTTTGGATAGGAAACATCTTCTATCCTTGGATAGGAGACATCTGTCGGGGTGATCTAGATGGTGCTTGGTCCTGCCATAAAGGCAGGGGACTGGACTTGAGGACCTCTGGAGGTCCCATTCAGTTCTGGTATTTTATTATTTGATCTCAAAACTGATTCCGCTAATGAAAAGGCGTCAACACCAGGTTGTACAGTGCTTACGTCGCTCCTGAGGGATTTGGAGGTTTGAGGACAGTATTTTTTGTGTGTGGGGGAAATTCTTAGGGAGCTCATGTCTTTCTGTGACTTATTCTCCAATTTCCCCTTCCTCATATGAAGAGGAAATACTTTTTTTCCTCACTCGAGTAGGATTGCCAACCCTTCAGGATTGGTCTGGAGTCTCCCAGCACCAGTATCAAGCTGCTGCTGACTATTGAAAGCAATTCTGAAGATTTTAATAGGCTGTTTTTAGAAAATGACATTAGGTCACGTGTATGTGTGTAGGAGGGGATGCCTAAAATAGTGTTAGTCAGAGTTGGCACAAGAAGTGTATAACTTCTATTTGACATTAATAAATATAAAAAGAAAAGATGTACAACCCACTGGCAAGTGTGTTGCAGGTCCCCTTTGCTGATCCATAGTGGATATGAGTTTTTACATTAGCTAACTTCTTTAGCTCAAGCAGTAGCAATTCTTGTTCTTAAATCTGGAGGTTGCTGGTGGGTCAGCCAAGATGGCAGCTAATACACAAGATTTTATGGCTAAAGCACAGGAATAGGAAAAGTGATTTGGCTTTTGTCTCTGCACCAGACTCTGTGTGAACTTTGGAAGGTCAGTTAATGACTCTGTTTCCTCATTCGTAAAATGGGGAAATATTTGCCTCTCACAGGGAGTTGTGAGACTAAATGTCATGATGCTTTGATGATAGGCTATAATGTGAAACTTATTGGTATTAATTTTTGTATGAAAGCATACGGAGAAGAAGGTTTCTACTATAATATGTTCTAATTGTTATGTGCAGTGTTTTTGTAGCTCTATTGGTCCCAGGATATTAGATTGACAACAAGGGTGAAGTAAAATATTTTATTGGAGCAACTTTTGGTGATAAAGAAGCTTTTCAACTTACACAGAGCTCTTCTATAGGTCATTGGAAGTTTGTTTCTGTCAACCCAGAAGTTGGTCCAATAAAAGATATTACCTCACTCCTCTTTTCTCTCCTATTAGTTATATCAAAGGACAGTTTTTTAGAATGGAATCCCTTATACTAATGCCTGATCCTAAAATACATGTTGTATACTTTCACTGATGCTGAATGAAAGTTACACAAGCAGATTGCATCTTAGCATACTTTTTTTCTGGGGCGTAAGAAGTGGTAGCAGCCGGTGAACTCCTGAAACAGTTATCCTGTCTTCGTGCAATGTCTCTATAAACTTTTTTTTTTAAAAAAAGCAGTATAACAGTATTGGACACTGAGGCCTTGTCTATACTTACTTGGAAGGTCGAACTAAGATACACTACTCTAACTACTTTAATTGTGTAGCTGGATTTGACGTAACTTAATTCAGCCTTCAGTGCCGTCTCTGTAGCAGGAGGTTGACAGGATCAAATGCCCCTGTCAACTTCCCTAACTCCTTGCAAATTGAGGGGTACCAGCATGGACAGTAGAGCCGTTGGCGTTCTTTACTAGATCTACTAAATTGAACTCCAGAAAATCGACCGCTATAACATCAGTCTTCTGAGAAGTGAAGAAGTGGCCTAAATGACTTTTTAAGTAAACTTGCCTCAGGCTAAACAGCATCTTCTGTCAGGCATTAGGGATATGAAAGTTTTGAAAAAATCGTTAGTCTGAAATTAATGTATATTCTGTAATCTGAGATCATTGTTTTGTTTTCTTCATACAGCTCGATTGAATTCTGAATCCAGTGTTTCATCAGGATCTTCATCTTTCTGGTCTGATCCTGTGAACATCTCCGACCAGGAAAAAGCCCATCATGGTATTGCCTTTTTTTTTTCCCCCCCAAAGATACTTTTTTTTCCTTATTTTTGGCACTTAGATTTAATTTACAGTCACTATTATTATGTTTCCTTTTGTAGGGTTACCTGAACTATTTGATAAATTCTGGTGGATAAAAAGCTTTTTCCACTCTGAACCATCTTCTTCTGAAAACATGAGTGGAAAAACATTACCAACTAGCAGGTAAGTCTTTTTTAATGAATGATGGAGATAATTTACTTATGCTACTTTTCTTCAGTGAGGATAACATACTGATTGGAATACCACTCTCCTTCCCCTGTCCCTCACATTAACTTTAGGGATATAATATTTTACTGTTGATTTAAGTGAAATGTAGCAGAAATTCAAGGTCACAACAGAATGCCTGTGAAATTACAGTCATTTCTTGTTAGTAAAGTTAGTCAAATCAAACAAAAACTTGTAATAAGCAGAAAATAGTGACCTTAACTTTTCTGTTTGCTTGAAGTGATAAACCAATATTTTGTTGGTATGTTTATTAGATAATTCTTGGTTAGCTGGCATGGATTAGAAAATTTACTGATGTAGTGTCTTAGCTAAAGGCCATAGAGCAGGGGTTCCCAAACTTTTTGACACGGGGACCAGTCAATCCATTCACGAGCTTTTGGAGGACTGATAACATTCATTTGCATATTCATCAAGCAAATTATGAATATTCAAATAAGTTGTTTCTGGTCCTCCCAAAGCCCCCAGTGCCAGCGTGGGCAAAGCTTTTGATACAGTCACCCACAATCTTCTTGCCAGCAAGTTAAGGAAATATGGATTGGATAAATGGACTGTAAAATGGATAGAAAGCTGGCTAAATCAGGGTTTCCCAAACTTTTTACTTTAGTTGGAACCTGCTTTTTTCAGGACTGTTTTTTGCAGCCCAAAAATATAAATACATATTAAAAAAAAAAGAATAAAAAATGAATGCATTTTCAGTGTTTTACCTGGCTGCATCCTCTGCACAGCCTGGGCCAGGGCTTGGGGAACCCGGAGCCGCATGGGCACTCCAGGAGGTGGGAGCAGGAGCAGATTAGGGGTCTGGTATCTGGCTAGGAGGGACGGTGCAAGAAAGGGTAGGGTTGCTATGTGTCCGGTTTTGTACCGGACAGTCTGGTATTTGAGAGTTTTGTCTGGGGAAAAAAATTGAGAAATTACCAGACATATAAAATGTCTACTATTTTCTAATTAGGTAAGTTTTATTATAATTAGGTGTATCGGTCCTTATCTGTGAACTGCCTGGCTGATAGATGTGCTCACACTGCATGAGTGTGTCTACCTGCCACGCAGTTCTCAACTACTCGAGGGAGGGTATGTGGAGGGGGAGGGGGACACAAAATGGAATCCCCGGCCAGACTCACTCATCTGCCAGGGTCTGCAGGGTCTGCATGTGCCCAGGTCAGTCCTGCTCCCCCCCCATTTCTCTTCCTGATCTCCCCAGTCCAGCCCTGCTTCCAGCGGCCAGTTCCCCCTACTCCCACCAATC